GCCAGAAGCGAACAAAAAATGGCCTATTTTCACAAGAACGGGCCCGTTTTTTTACAAAAGTAGGGCATGGATAGCCTTTAGGAAGCTTATAGAGTGCTGCTGGAGGCTGGGGGGGGGGGCAAAAAATGGGCTGTTTTTCACTCATTTCTGTCCTCCCCAGCCCCCAGGAACATTCTGAAAGCCTTCTAAAAGCTATGCATGGCCATTTTGGTGAAGGGGTGGAGTTTCAGGAAGCAAAAAAATGCTGTATTCAGTGTATAAGACGCACCCAGATTTTCGGCCTCCTTTTTTTTTTTTTTTTTTTTTTTTTTGAGGGAAAAAGGTGCGTCTTATATTCTAAAAAATACAGTACTTAAAGCTTTAAAAAAGGTACTTTTGTTCCTCTCAAGTCTTTTTCTTTCACTATTCGTTTGTACTGTATCATGGCTTTTTCTTCCCCTCTTTATCTCAATTATTAAGACTGGAACATCCGTCAGTTCTCCCAGCTGTTTGCTAACAAACAAAGGCATTAATTCACATAGTTACACTGTTTCACTTCTGAATCCCCAAACATCCATCACAAAACCTTTCTTCTGCTTCTTATTGCTCTTTTTATAATCTGTAGCTAAGATATATATGTGCCATTGTATAGGTGCCTTCTAACATTTTTCTCTTTTTGCCTATGTGCTGTTTATTTGGGGGATACACATTCTAGTTTTGTCTCACTGGCTTTCTGAGAGCACTAAGTTGCATATTTGAGAACACTTGCTTTGCAGATTTTTCTTAAATATATATTTAATTTTGTTTCAAACAAGATTAAAATACAAAATACAATACTCCAAAAAAAGGGTTTTGAGTAGTAAAAGAAAAATATTTGTAAAACATTTTCAGGAAACCAGTAAGACAGGAGAAGTGATTGGCAGCTGTTCGGTTACTTACAATCACTAATAACATTTTTTTTAATAAAAGGCTGATTTTTTTAAATAAGAAATTTACCTTATCCTATGTCATGCAGCAGGGGGCACTGTTTTATTAGTCATCCAAATTGCTGTAAAGTTAGATAATATAGAAAATTGATTATTCAGATTAGAATATAAAATATATTGTAATAACAGCATTTAACTCATCTAGTTACTACAGGTAATCCTCCCTTACCAGCAGTAATGGGAAACTTTGTCACTAAACAGTACAATTGTAACTTATTGCAGCAGTCCCAGTTGCCTGTTAGGAGAATCCTAAGTGGTCACACAGCATCCTGTAGTCATATGATTGCCATTTACAACCTCCCGTCAGCTTCCCTGTTGATTCCATTTGTCAAAAGCCAGCAGTGAAAGTCATGTGAGTGTGGGCTGCTGCAACATCATAATTATGAGCCAGTTGCCAAGCACCCAAATTGCTATCCCATTATCGTAGGGACACTGCAGTGGTCACACCTACAAAGACCTGCCATAACCACCTCTTGTTCAGCACCGTAACTTCAGAAGGTCACTGTAAGATCAGTGAGGATTTAACAGGATAACAGAGTTAGAAGGGATTTGGAGGTCTTCTAGTCCAACCCCCTGCTCAAGCAGGAAACCCTATATGAGATGAGACAGCAAAACCTGCTTTTACTAAATTTACAAATCAAATAATGGCTGCTTTTACTGAGATGTATTACATATGCATATGAGGATAAGAATTTTTATTTGCTTAAGATTCAAATATATTTAACCACGAATTAAGTCACATTTTAGATGTTATCATGCAAAAGAGATTTTAAATGCATTTGTTTGTCTCTTTAGGGCTATCAACCTTTTGTGAATTGTCAAGACATAAAAGTGGAACCTTCTCAAGGTAATTTTCTAAAATGATGTGCTTCATTTCTTTTCATAGAATATGGCAATTGTATGTTTTAAACACTCCATAACTCTTTGTTCTTTTCCAGAGTGGACCCCTCTTGATTCATAACCAAAACCAAATACTTCATAACTTAGCTTATTCATATGACATATGTTTTTGTGGACTAGACAGCATGCCAGTAGTTAAAGGGAAGAGTATCCTAAAATTGGCAGGTACATAAAAGTGCTGTGTAATAAAGAGAAAGGAAGAAAGAAAAAAAGAGAGGAAAAGGAGACGGGATAAATATGTGGGAACATTTTATGCTTCTGATGTGAATTCTAGTGGGGAAAAAAGTATAATATACAAAGTGTCTAACATAGTCTTTCCCCAACCTTTTTGCTCTGAAAAGGCCCTTGAAATAATATTCAGGTCTCAGGGAACCCCTGCATAACAATTGTGAAAATACAAAAACTTCACAATAAAATTCACTTTTAGCCTACACAGCGCACAATTTGCAATGTTAAAAGAACAGCAAACTAATCATTGTGAGCACTAGCATGGTCTGTGCAAAGTTTAAAAAGTGATGCTTATTTTTTTTTCAGTCATGCTTTCACAGAACCCTGACCAAAAAAAAAAAAAACTACTTCAGATTTTTAAAAAAACTATTATTTTGGTTCCAATGCTTTGCAGGGTAAAAACAGAATACCATATAAAGTTTATGGTTTAAATTCTACCATTTTCCAAGCCATAGTGTTTACGTCAGAGGTGGGCAATTAATTTTCTCAAAGAATCACATGAGAAACTGGGACAATAGGCTGAACTTAATTCTGCTCAATATTAATTTTATTGCTTTATAAAAAGCATTAAATGGTATCATTTTATTAGGTGCTACTAGTAAGAATGCAGGTTATAATAAGGCTATGAAAATATGGAGTAGGTCAAATATAGCAGTAAAAAATAGCAAAAACACCAATACTATCACTATTTCACTTTATTTTTAGCGTAACATAAGAATTACTAATCACACACTTACTAAGGCAAATAAGATATTTTACTATCAAGTTTAACTTGTCTTCAGGGAGCATTTCTTCTAACTTGAAAACATTGCTTATGGTAATTTATTTGCAATGAAGAATTATTGCATACAAATTTGTTCTGCATGCTGGTTGGATTATAAAGTAAAACGATCTGATCAATCACAATTTTTTTAAAAATTCTAAAGTAGAAATAATGTTTAGGAAAACATTGTGCAAATATATAGTGAATGAACTTATTTGCACAGTCTGGAATTTGCATCTATCCCTGTGCAATAACTACAGTCACCAGAAACGAAAGATAGAATTATATGCTTTCATTTCCTTATTTCATTTCCCATGTTTTGGAAGCAGTGTAAACATCCAGTTTTTTAAATACTTCTCTAATGTACAATCATGTAATATTCTACCAGGGCAAACATGTTTATAAGGATTGCTGGGATAGATAGATTGGAATAATCTAGTTTGTTTTCAAATGAAGTTAATTAACCTTGGAAAAACCTGCAAGCAGTTGTTTTGTACTGATTTTACAGTACATAGTATGCTGTAATTCTTCCCATTATTTCTATTTTACAGATGGAATGCAGAAGTAAAGGGTTATAACTAGTCCAAGTTATGTCAAGTTGACCCTAAATCATCCAGAAAGAATTTATTACTGTTACAATACTTTCAGTTTTCATTGAGTTTTAGAAAGTTCAAGAGAACAGTTCTCAGGACAATGAGTTTTTAATATAAAAGGTAGCAAATGTAAAGCGAATCAAGATTTTTATTTTTATATTTGGACTCATTTTTTAATGTGCCTTTGGATGCTTGACAGTTGGTTCATATTTATGACGGTTGCAGTGTCCCAGGATCATTTGATCATCGTTTGCAACCTGACAAGCAAAGTCAATGGGGAAGCCAGATTCACTTAATCCGTGTTACTGATTTAACAACTGCAGTGATTCACTTAACAAACGTGGCAAGAAAAATCGTAAAATGGGACAAAACTCACAACAAATTTCTCATTTAGCAACATAAATTCTGGGCTCAATTGTCATAAGTCGAGGACTACCTGTACTTTATATTATCTCTTCTAATAGAGATTATTATTACAACTACAGTTTACTGTTCTTCATTACCGATGTGGATTTGATACACTGTACAGTTCAGAATGCAACACAGTAATTTCCAGATAGATTAATCTAGGGTTCATACAGTTTTGGATTAAATAGTTCTAGGAATTTCCTCTCAGAATTCTGATTATTAGGGTTCAGGAGCTGCAAAAAGAAAAGCTGTGTCTGTTGAATTACCAGAAATCAGCATTTATGACATTAGATACAATAGCGATAAAAAATTTGTCCGTGGAAGAAAAGGCGTTTATGACAGTATAAATATATGTATATGTATAACAGTTTAATTTCAGAGGTTTCTGTCAAAAAGTCTGTTTTAAAATATGGTTTTGAAATAAATATTAGATTAAAATGGGATAATTATTAACAACTTGAAGAATTTTGCTCCTTTGTATAGCTTTATTTAAAAACACTATGAAATTGCGATACACAAGAGCTTTTTTTAATCCAACCATATATAGTAGAAGTTTTTGAAATTTGTGGGCGAAGCTGGCAGGTTAGAGACTGCGAAATCTGGAAAGCAATGTTTATTTACAAGTCTGCTATTGTTTTTCAGTTTGCTTTACAGTGTAATTATTCATTTCTTCTCAGAAGTTCGGATTACTTTATTTAGCTATTTTTCTGTCATCCCTTTGCAACACTGTATGGTTTAGGTTAGGAGGAGATATGACAATTTAGAGCAATGGGAAATTGAGTTGCGTGCTGAATATGGATTTTAAATGAAGTATCTCTAAGTTCCTTAGAATCTCACTATATCATCTGAGTAGTTATAGATGTGATAGGAAAAGGGTTTATTTTTAGTTTTGCATATTTCAGAAGTGATTGTATATGTAACACATTGAATGTCGCAGTATATAAATTCCTTATCAAAAATAAATTGATAGTAAATTGCAGAATAACGATCCACAAAACATTTGTACTTTTTACATTTTGAAACTTTTCTTTTTAGATGTTGAATAAAATAGCCTCTTTGGAATGGTAGATTGCCCATGATACTAACTTAATATTATTCCTCCTTTTCTCCATCTTTTACTTTATAATGCAGCAAATTGATATTTTTCTTGGTTTATGTTCTAAGAGAATACATGAATCTTTTTTCCCCCCAGATCAGTCTATGGTAGAATTGAGACTTTCAACAAAAACTATGTCTAGACATACTGGAGAATCATTTAAGGTGAGATTTCTAAAGATATAATGGTTTGTATCTAAATTTAGTTGATTAATTGACATAATGGTTCATGCATTAATGACTCAACTCCAACTGACATAAGATAGTTGTAAGTACAATAAAATCTGGTCCAATTAGTAGCATTTATAAGTTGGAAATATAACTGTGAAAAATTACACATTCCAGTCTTCAAATGTTCCACTACTCTCTGGAATTCAATGATATGCTAGTTCTAGAAAGGTTTGTGTCTTTCCAGAAGTGTATTTTCCAGGATAGGAAATGGTTGATGGTGTCCTACATAGAGTCCAATCTCTAAATATTCATTTTTAGGGAATGTATAATTTTACAAATTCCTAACATTAACTTATTGTCAAGCAATGTTATAGAACGCTTGTGAAGACCTGATTCATTAACTATTTTAAGAAAAAGACTACAGTAGTCTCATATTTTTCAACTGAATAGATCTATTCAGAATTTGTCTGCTATACTTACTGGCAGTATCACTTAAGTATGTTTTGAATCTACAGCTCTCATTAGAATCTACAATTTCATTCCTTTTAAATGTGTATTGAAATTACAAAGTGGTTTTAGGGAAGGTTTGTAATACATGTCACTTCTGAATTGATGTTTAATGTACTATTGCTAGAATTCATTAAAGCTGCTTAGAAATTCTAGTACTCCCAGGATATATAGTAGCTCAATTTGAATAACCTGGATTTTTTTTCTTTTGTCCTGCCATTTCCAGTCCCTGTCATCCCTCGTGGAAAGAGCAGAAGGCTTCTCAAAAGCATTGTCTTTACAACAAACTTTGGAACAATGCAGACTCCATCAAGAAATCATGTTTGTCTCTGAAGTTAAAAAAGAAAATAAAAATGAAGTCAAAAACCTTACATCACAAGTGGAAGTTCTACCTTCACAAACTGCTATCAGTAATTCTGTACTACTCAAAATAAAGAGATCATCATGTTCTCCACAGAGACGCTACCCACTCCGACAAAGAAAACTTAGTCATGATACATGAACACTTTTTTGAAGAGATCATTGCATAGCCATTCAGTTTTTCTGATATTTTTTTTGGGGGGGCGGGGGGTTTATATAGCATCCTTAGTAATCCCCTGAAATCCACATAACCAAACAAATTTTGTTTGATAGCGATGAAGCTGGATACTGGATCCCTTTATATAGCTACTCTGTAAAATACTTAAGCTTATTATTAAATCTGAACATTTTTCTTTTAAACTAAATTTGCCTACAGTATATTACAGCAGAATGATCTTCTACAAGGACTTTGACTTGTTTATGAATGCTTTAATGCTTAATTGTGTTAATGGTAATTTCTCCAAAAATTAGGCAAGAGCATTATCTATGCTCTTGATCCATAAAGTTGTACATTTCCACAGCAAAGATTCTTGCTGAGTGGAACTTTAAAAGTATTATGAGCAGAGCATCTGCAACTGGAGTTTCAGAGAAGAACTGAAATTATTTAGATCCACAGAGGGGTATCTAGTTCCCTGTAACTGTTTGTGGATTTCTAGATCAGTATAATTTTTAAATGAGCTCAACTTCTATATATGTTCATTGTAGCTATAGGCTGGGGTTAAAAGATTAAAGTATTTAGCTGCAGGTTGTGTCTTCAGTGTAGTCTAAAAACTGAGGAAAAATGTTTGGTGCTAATATTCAGTTAGTCATTGACTTACAACAGTTCATTTAGTGACTGTTCAAAGTTACAAGCACGGACAATGACTTGTGACCATTTTTCAAACTTATAACTGTTGCTCACTTGATCAAAATTTGGATGCTTGGCAAGTGGTTCACATTTATGACAGTTGCAGTGTCCCAGGGTCATGTGATCACCATTTGTGACCTTCAGACAAGCAAAGTCAACGGGGAAGCCAGATTCATTTAAATCTGCAATGATTCACTTAACTGTGGCAAGAAAGGTTGCAATATAGGGCAAAACTCACTTAACAAATGTCTCAGCAACAATTTTTGGGTTGAATTGTGGTCGTAAGTCAAGGATTACCTGTACCTGCTCTTTCTCTCCTGTATTCCCGTTTCCCTGAGCCATGACAAATCTTCTGGGAATTTGATGGGAATACAATGTACTTCCAAATCACCATTTAGTAAATATTCAAGTTGCAAAGAAATACCAAGTTTTGTGCTCTCAAGAAACTATCAATAGTGGATGTTTTGTTTTATTTTCCTGATTTCCATGGTCTGCAAATTAAAAGAGGGCTGATTGAGTTGGCCTTCTATCTACACCTCAGGAAGATATAGTAATTGTAAGAACACTATTCTATATATTTCTTAAAAACCACTTTGCCCATATTATTGTGTAAAGTAAAATATTTTTGTAATAGTTGGTATTTGAATATTTAGATACCCTTTTTCTAAATCAAATGAGACTGTAATTTGAATTGCATACAATAAGCAAGCGATGTGATAGATTCTAATAGGCTTGCTTAAGCAGTGTATATTCAAGGAGAGCTAGACAGAAGCAATTCTGGGCTAAATTACCAGTATTTTCCCTTAATTTTTTAAAAAACTCAGTTCCTACAGGATTTCTGAACTCTAAATGCCTTTTCATTTTATAATTGTGATCTATAAATTTTCAAAATCAACATTATAACATTTTCTCTTTTTTATTAAATTTACTGCAAATATATTGTTTCTGAAAAATGAGAGATAGTGTTTAAGATACTGGGCTAGAAACTCAGAAGACTGAATTCTAATCTTACTTTAGCTATTAAAGCCAGCTTGGTGACTTTGGGCCTCTCAGCTTTTGACGTCATGCTCAGGTGAGAAGCCATTCAGTCAATTCCTGTTACACCAAATGGACACCCCCCACCCCTCTGTGATTGTTCTGAATCAGCAGGAGTTTTTTCCCCCCCCTGCTGACAGACAATTGGTTTCATCGCCAAAGCTGGCTGTTTGGCAGTACACTTCCCAGATTTGAATGAGAACTGCTAGGAATGACCCAAGATGACCCTCAGATGACTGTGGACCTACCTGAGAAGAGGACTGTCCTAGTAGGTTGCAAGTTTCAGTGGGAGTGGTTGGAGGTCTGAGCTGTCATCTTTTCCTTCCAGCTGCCTGTTGTCTTAAGAACGCCTGAGTTTTGAAAGCATGTTTTGATATTTTCTTTTGATTTTTACTTTTAAATGTTAAATCGGCTGGTTGAGTGCTGATCTAATTTAATCCCCTGCTGGATTTTAAAGTTTTTTTTTTAATGTTCTTTTTATTGTTTTATTAGTTGTTGTCACTTCCACTTCCTCCACAGCAGACTCTGAAAAAGATCTGATTTGATTTACCTTTGGATCAAACTTTCACTATAGGTATTTCATACTTTTGTAATTTTTTAAAAAAGTCTGGTTTTAAATTTCTTTTTAATTTTTGATGAAAATCTCTGTCTTTTTTATGCTGGGGAAGTTCTTTTCTATGTTTTTCAAGGATAATTTGCTATGATGCTTTTCCTGTCTTTGAGAAGAGCTTTTATAATCGGCTGTAAAAGTTCAGCTGCAAAAGTTTAACTACTGAAGTATCCTGGACTATAGCAAAATATAATCAAAATGCATACAATATATCAAGACAAAGCTTTTGGGGAAAGTTGGGGGGGGAATACTTTTCAACTTACAAGCCCAATTTGAATATTTGGATAAAAAGCTTGATAAAATAACAGTGATTTTCAACCACCTTGAAGAAGATAACCAAATGCAAGTAACAGCAGTTGCAGCCTGATGGATTTGAATGTTATTTTTTGCCAGCAGACCTGAAGGATGAAGCTGATTCGGAAAATGCAAGTTGGTTAGAGGTATGAATTTTAAAGACAAAGTGGATAGAATTGTCTAGAGATGAACTCAATTCTTCTCAAGAAGATTGATGGAGATTGGACAATGGATTTATTATATTCAATCGGAAAACAAATGTTAAGAGATGCTGAATTACAACTTACAGGAGACTCTTTGAACAGCAAATGCTGTGGAGATATACACAATAAAAACATGACATTGGGGAATAAAATCCAACAGTTAGGAAAGATTAATAACTTAAGGGAAAATGTTAAGAATCAATCAAAGGTATTTGATCCTGGCAGACCAGAGATGATTGTGGTGATTTATGGTAGATCATAAGCTGTCATGGACTTTCTGCTAGACTTTTAAGAGGGTTTTGAAGTTTAGCTGTTTTTTTTTTAACCTGTTAACTATGTTTCCACATAGTAAATAGATGTCAGGCCAAGGGGGGGGGGGGGGTAACTATTCTAGAAATTTATAAATTGTGTGGCTGCTTTGCAAGGGAGGAGGAGGTATAATATTTCAAATATATTTATTAGTATTCATGGAACAATTTACATATGTCAGGGGTATTTTTTTTCTTTAAATGCACATTTTTGTGTAGATTTACCTAGATTTGTTTTGAATTTGTATTACTTTTTTCCTTTTTTGGAGTTTGTATTTTAATGTTTCGGATAAAATAAAATATTAAAAAGGGTAAAAGGAACACTAAGTTTATAAAAAAATGAAAAAAAACAACCTCAGGAATTCATTATTTCTTGAAGAAAAACATCCTGAAGGAAAGAAAATGGCAAAAATACATGTAAGAAATATATTGCTTTTAGTTTTTTAAAACTGATGATTTATTCTTTTAATAACAGCTTACTTAAAGTTCAGAATTCAAGTATAACTAAGTTATCATGACAACTGAGTTATGTAATCATTTAATTTAATGAATATATATCCCAAAATTATTTAATAAAAATACAGTATAGTATTCAGGATTCAAACAGTGGCTTAGCTACCCTGGTACTAATGAATATAGGTTTCTCAAAAACGAGGATCTTCCATTAATTTTAAACAGGAAACTAAAAGAGTAATTGTACATCTATGGATGTACAATATACTCCCATGCTCCTGCTGTTTTTATAACAGCAGGAGTATGGGAGTATATATTAAGTTTTGTAGAGTATAACAAGGAATTTCAAATCTGGGAGTGTGTGTGTGTGTGTATGATTTTGAGATGAGTAATGTTGCCTGGTTGGGATAACACTAAATTCCAACCGCAGATAGGTAATAAGGATATCTTGGAAACTCAGGAAAGATAAATCAGTACACTTTTAAATGACTTATACAAGAAAATTCTGTTTCTTACTTGTGGCATTATTTGGCTGACTCAGAAGAAGTCAGCCCTTTTTTTAAGGCTTAAAAAATCTCTTCACTTGAAATGTCACAACATTCAACTTTATATTTTTAACTTGAGTGTAAACTGGCATTGCATCAGAGGGCGTCTGGTTGTTTTCTTAATATAGCTCAGGTTTTCAGATGGATACATAATAAAGCTGATTGCTTAATCCCTATATGCATGTAGTCTTCATAGTTATGGTGCACAGAGCTTCAACAACAACAAAAATACTGAAGTTTAGTGGTGAATAGAACAGAGTATAGAATTTGGTTTTCCATTACTAACTAAACTTCTGTATCCTATTACCGGTAACTGAATTTAGTTTTTAATGGCTTCTTGACAATATTCACAAATACAATTTTATTTGTCCATGATGTTGAACCTTGAGAAATGCAGGTTCTCTCCAAGGTACTTGATACTAAGAACATGGAGTGATAATTATCAAGTGTCCTATAAATAGAATAGAACCTAGATCTCTATTATGTAAGAGACAAAGGAGAATAGTCCTTTCTGCTCTCAAAATCCATTGCATCTTAATTTTTTTTTAAAGTTGTCTTTTATATTTGCTTTTCTAATTTAAGGTTGTAGGGATGTGGTGGCTCAGTGGGTAAGACGCTGAGCTTGTCGATCAGAAAGGTCAGCAGTTTGGTGGTTTAAATCCCTAGCGCTGCATAACGGAGTGAGCTCCCATTATTTGTCCCAGCTTCTGCCAACCTAGCAGTTCGAAAGCATGTAAAAATGCAAGTAGAAAAATAGGAACCACCTTTGCTGGGAAGGTAACAGCGACATTTAGTCATGCCAGCTACATGACACGGAGACGTCTTCGGACAGCGCTGGCTCTTCGACTTTGAAACAGAGATGAGCACTGCCCCCTAAAGTCAGGAATGACTAGCACATATGTGCAAGGGAA